TTTAAAAAAAAAAAAAAAAAGAACTAACCTCTTAGTTTGTGAATACCTGTCCTGTCTCTGCAGTGAGGCCAGAGGCCTGGCTGTCCACTGGCCCCAGTCCCAGTCCTGGCCATCTCCTGCTGGTGTGCCATGTCTCGGGTTCTACCCAAAGCCTGTGTGGGTGATGTGGATGCGGGATGAGTAGGAGCAACAGGGCACCCAGCGAGGCGACGTCCTGCCCCATGCTGATGGGACATGGTATCTTCAGATATCCTTGGATGTAAAAGCCAGTGGGGCAGCTGGCCTGTCCTGCCAGGTGAGACACAGCAGTCTAGGAGGCCAGGACATTGTCCTCTACTGGGGTGAGAAAGAGCTGGGGCCCAGCTGGGAAAGGGGATGGGTATTCCTCCAGAAGAACAGGAGAACCAGAAGAAAAATTGGGGTTCCTAGAGACTCCATAACAAAAAGGACAAAAATGAGTAATCCAAGAAATGGAAGAGCTGAGGGTGAGAGTTCTGTAAATGTGGGTGGTGCAGAGGGTTTGTGAAGGGTCCATCTCTGAAGAGGGATGGAAGGAGAGAGAAGAGGAAGGGCGGTTGGTGAAGCAGAGGGTGACAGGAGCAAAGAGGACCAGGGAGGTGCAGTTCAACCCTGGGTGGATGGGAAATGACACACTCTCTGCACCAAACCCACAGAGCAGCACCAACCCATGGGCTTGGTCTTCCTGGAAATGATAGTGCCCCTGGTGCTTCTGGCAGTTCTCACCTTGTGGCTCTGGAAACACTGGTAAATCTATGGAGCCACCTTCCTGCTCTTTCCCAAGTGGCTCCCCACCTTTCAGTCTGTCCTCACTCCTCCTGCTCCTGTTGTCATTCCCACCATGTATTCCTCACCTCCACCTGCTACAGAATGATTCCTCCTCTGTTCCTCCCAGGAAAACACACTGGAGACCTCAATGTACTGGCCTCCCACTGGCATGAGAAATCATCAGCCCAAGGATCAGGATATACCTAAACCCAGCTCAGCAGTGATGTCCTTGTAACTCTCTGTGTGCAACTTTTTTGTTTCATTTGTGCTTAATGATTAGTTGAGAATATAAACTCAGTGTAATTTAGCTGGATTTGTTCTTCTGACTTGGTTTGCAACTTAAATCTCAAAATTGAACTCAAAGTAAAATGGATTCCCGGCAACCTCCATGGGTCACAAGCATCAGATATCACTTCCTCCAGTGAGAATTCCCTGATTCACAAGTAGATTAGTCTACTTTGTGAGAATTTCCACCATCTTGACCTGCACTTTGGCTAATCTATTCCTGCACCCAAGCCCTTGTTGCCCCCATTAGGTTCCTTTTGCCTTCTAACTCTTAGGTCTCTTGAGAGCATGTCCATGTCTTTTAAATATTTCTATCTTTGCCAAGTGTCTCACTTGCATGGAATATTTCCTCAATAAAAATATGGGTGATTTACATGAAAACGTGCTCAACATCACTCGGCACCAGGGAAATCCAAATCAAAACCTCAATGAGATATCACCTCACACCAGTCAGAATGGCTAAAATTAACAAGTCAGGAAATGACAAATGTTGGCGTGGATGTGGAGAAAGGGGAACCCTCCTACACTGTTGGTGGGAATGCAAGCTGGTGCAACCACTCTGGAAAACAGTAT